TAAACAATATTTACAAGCAAATGAAAATATAAATACATCTTACCAGAACCTGTGGGATGCGATGAAAGCAGTCATCAGAGGAAAAGTTTATTGTGGTGAACTCCGACATAAGGTAAACAGAGCAAGCGCAAACAAACAACCTGATACAACATCTCAAGCATCTAGAAAAAGAAGAGCAAGTCAAGCCCAAAACCAAAATGATAGGAAGAAATTATAAAGGTCAGAGAAGAAATCAGTGCAACAGAGACTAAGGAAACAATCCAAAGAATCAATGAATCAAAGAGTTGGTTCTTTGAAATAATAAATAAAATTGACAAACCTCTAGACAATCTTATTTTAAAAAGGAAGAAAAAACTCAAATTCATGCAATAAGTAATGAAAAGGGAGAAATCACTACAGACCCTGTGGAAATACAGAAGATCATCAATACCTATTTTGAAAAATCTCTATTCTCATAGGCTTGATAACACAATAAACAGACAGATTCCTAGAAATGGAAGAATTACTAATGCTTTGTCAAGAAGATGTAAAACTGCTGAATAACACAATTTCAATTAATGAAATGAAAAGTGTAATTACAACCTATCAATAGAGAAAATCCCTGGTCCAGTAAGTTCAGATGAATTTACTGCAGAATTCTACAATAAATTCAAAGAACATTTAATGAAAACACTCCTCAAACTCTTTAATGAAATTGAAAGGGAAACAGTTCTTCCTAACTCATTCCTAGAAGCAAATGTTACTCTAATATGAAAACCTGAGAAAGATCCAACCAAATAGAGAACTACAGACCAATCTTCCTAATGAACATAGATGCAAACATTCTCAATAAAATATTGTGAAATAGAATTCAGCCAATCATCAAGAAGATTATACACCATGACCAAATGGGATTCGTCCCAGGAATTCAGGTATTGTTCAGCATATACAAATCATTAATTGTAACCCACCATATCAATACAGCCAAAAATAAGAACCACATGATCATTTCTATGGAAGCAAAAAAAGGATTTTGATAAGGTCCAACACTTATTTATGATAAAACCATTACAGAAACTGGGAATAGATGATCTTTATCTCAATATGTTTAAAGCCTTCTATGACAAACCAACAGCCAGTATCATGCTAAACAGCCAATAATAGTAAGCCTTTTCCCTAAAATCAGAAACAAGACAAGGATGTCCATTATCACCACTCCTATTCAATTAAGTGCTGGAAGTGCTAACCAGAGCAATTAGACAAGAGAGAGAAATAAAAGGAGTAAGATTAGGAAAAGAAGAATTTAAATCATCATTATTTGCAGATGACATAATACTCCACATAGAAGACTCCCAAAACTCCATTGAAAGACTCCTATGTATAATAAATAAATTCAGTAATGTAGCTAGATACAAAGTCAACCATCAAAAATAAATAGCATTCCTACACTCTAACAACAAAACCACTGAGAGAGAAATACGAAAAGCCACACCCTTCATAATAGCATACAACAAATTCAATATTTAGGAATTAATCTAACAGATATAAAAGATCTACTCAGATAAAATTATAAAACCCTGAAGAAAGAAATCAAAGAGGATCTCAGAAAATGTAAAGACATCACTTGTTCATGGATAGGAAGAACAAACATTGTGAAAACGGCCAATCTCCCAAAATTGTTATACAGATTTAAGGCAGTCCCATCAAAATGCCACTAGCATACCTCACAGATCTAAAGAAATCACTCCTAAAATTCAACTGGAACCAGAAGAGAACTAGAATAACAAAGGCAATTCTAAGCAACAAAAGCAAGGCAGGAGGCATCACAATCCCTGACTTGAAGTTATAATACAAAGCTATTGTAATAAAATCAGTATAGTACTGGAATAAAAACAGGCCTGCATATCAGTAGAATAGGTTGAAGATACAACAACTACCAACAAACTCAGCCACTTTATCTTTGATAAAGGGGCCAAACGTGTCCACTCAAAGAAAGATTGTCTCTTCAATAAATAGTGTTGGAAAAATTAGCTCTCTATATGCTGAAAACTAAAACTAAAACTAGACCCTCGCCTATCACCATGTACTAAATTAAAATCAAAAACATAAATATTAAAAGAGAAACACTAAATCTTTGGAAGACAAAGTGGGTAAAATTCTTGAATACAAATGGATATGCAGAGAATTCATGAGAAAGAATCAAACCACACACGAAATATTTCATACAGTCAATAACTGGGATTGCATCCCATTAAAGTTTTTGCATGTCGAAAGAAATCTACAGCATAGAGAAAAGAAAACCCACAAATTGGGAAAAAAAATCTTAGTGAATGTTCCCGCAGACAAAGGACTTCTGTCTAGAATGCACACAGAATTTAAAAAAATGGAACCCCAAATTCAAAGACCCAATTCAAAAGTGGGCATCGGGAATGAATACACAGTTCTCAGATGAAGAAATACAAATGACAAATATATACATGAAAAAATGTCCAGCATCATTCATCATTAGAGAAACACAAATTAAAATTGCAATGAAAGAATGGCCAGTGTAAAGGAAACTACCAGCCACAAACTCAATAAATACAGTGAAAGGATAAGAATCTGCTTAAAGAGAAAAATAATATCTCACAGAAAAGGAGGAAAAAGGAAAAGAAAGGGAAAAGAAAAAATATCTAAAATTTTATAAACACACTTAGGATAGCTAAGATGATTATACTATAAATTCTATAAGTTCTTAGAACAAAATAGTTAACATTCATAGGATTGGAACAATTGTATCAATTGGTATATGATAATCTGAGGAATTCTGCCTTTAGGGAACACAGTTTTCCGATAAGACTGATTTCTTTATATACCTATTTCTAAGATTAACAATGTGTATTCTAACTCCAGGGCTTGAAAAAATAATGTCACAAATGTCAAATAAAAAAATCAGTTGCTCTCAGAAAATAAGTAGCTTTACAAAGCCTGATTGTGGTGGTTTCATATGCACATGACTGTTGTCCTTTGCAAATGTTTACTCATCGGAAAAAGAATTCAATGCTATTTGATTTAAAATATGTTAAGAAAAGTTAAGGTCTTATAATAATCACCATATTTCTTTAAAAAATTTCTGTTATCCAAATGTTTCAGATGCTCAGTGTTTGCAATACTTCTCAAGATTTTTACTTTAATACGCTAAACACTGTTTACAACTGAATTAACTTTTGAATATTTTCTATATTGTAGTACAGCCAAAATGTTTTTGTGTTTCTGAATTTTATAAATACTAAACTACAATAAGATTTTGAAATACTGTGTAATGAATGTACATATGCTGGAATAGTATTTCTAGCTTTCAAGTAGTTGATACACTGTTGAAATAATAGTAATTTTCAAGAAGTTGAAAAGGTCATAGTTGAAGTCTTTAAAAGGTTAAAGCTGTGTTTGTAAAAGAGAATAAGAGTAGTAAATCTTAATATAAAAGTTAAAATTAACTGTATTTGTATACAATTTTAAATTGCCTAGTTAAGTAACTTAATATTTCTACAGTTTCTACATTTTGCTTACCTGTACCTTGCTAATTACTAGAAACAGACCATGGATCACTTAAAAGTATAACAGTATCTTTATAGTTTTAAGATTTTACATAATTTTCTATATGAGTACCAAAAGTAATTTTCCAACAAGATGATGATACATGCTCTTTAGGACATAGATGGGACTTTGATTTGTCATTCTCAGAAGGTAGAAATAATATGTTTTCTAGCACATTATCTTTTAAATGTACACATTTTCTTACATGTTAATTCTATAATAAAAATACTTTCAGTTCTCTTCTCATTATTTATCTTTTCTTTTTCTCTCTTTTCCCTCCTTAGCATGATGCTTTGCTTGCACACTTATTTTTTTTAACATATCCAAATTTTGCATATCTTTAACCTATTTCAGTTTATTTGACTCAAACTAAGCGTCTTCAAAACTTTGGTCTGGATAATAATACTTAAAACAATTCTGTTGTTTCCTGTATATGTTTTTTGCTTCACTTATTTGTTCTAAATAGATTTCCTGTAAATAACTATAAATGTTACATGTCCTGATTATTTAAATATTTTATGTACATAATTTTATAGAATTTTATTTATATTCTTTGTTCATATTTTAATAATAACACCTCTACATTCACTGAATTATTTATTATACATTACATATTATATAAAAATATTCAATGAACATTGTTTATTTTTCACAAAATAATACAATTAGTCTATTTTACACTCAAGCATAATTAAGTTTAATGAATTGAATTAGAAGTTTACAAAAGAAACATTATTCAAATAAATCCAAATTTATTAAAAGTTGATAGAGGTTCAATAGGAAGAATGAATTTCAGTGCTTTAGGTCATTATGATGTAATGGTTTAGGCATATTCAAATACGCTCCTCAGATAAGGAACGTTTATAATGTGAAATCTACATGTGTGCTGGGTCATGAGTATTTGGGAGATATCCACATGTCAGATATTTTTGCTACATTGAACCATTGGTATAAACTTCCAGAAAAACTACAAAAATGAAAATGTAGTTTAATCATATAAAATATAAACACTTTCAAATAAATTCTAAAAACTCTGTATTAATAAAATTAAAAAATAAAAATTTTATTTATTGTTGAAAATTCCCACATGTAATAAATCTGTCCAGTATAAATGTAATAGAATTTTTGTTAAATATATTTAAATTTAAAGAATAATAGTAATTAATGCTTTTGATACATATGAATTTTTCTTTTAGAAAAAACAAAATTGAAATATGAATTGAAAATATTTCATAAAAATAGAAATGTAGAACATTGAAGTTTAAAAATAAGTTAGCTTAGACTGTATTACTGTCAAGATTAGATATAAAACCATTTTTGAGGTTTCTGCAAAATGTTTTCTATGCATTACAATTTACCATCATATTTAATTTATTCTTACAGATATATTTGAACCAATGGAAAAAAGATATCAACATAAACTCTAAATTACAGATGAGACTTACATGCTTTATGAAATTTTTGTTTAACATCATGAACAGTAGACGATTGTGTCACCTGAAATAAAGAGAAAAATAGAACAAACTATAAGTCAAATATTAATAACTTTATTCATCTATTTATGAGGAAAACATTATGTATAAAACAGGGAAATATTACACAATATACATAATTTCCATTAGCTTTTGTTTGATATATTTCATAAACTTGACTCATTATAATTATAATATTGTTAGTTAAATTAATTTTAAAATGTTTTATACTTATCAATAATGATGCTGTTATGTACATTCAACCACTTTTTTATTTTTAAAATACACAATGAATTTCTTCTGTCCAAATATTTAGCTTCATTTATAAAAATTCAATAGACAATTGATTAAAAGTATGACAATGCACAACAAAAGAAAAAGACTTTTTCAACACTCCAGAAGGAGAAAATTTGAGATTAACAGACATGACAAGGAAAAATTTACTTCAGAATATCATGAGATAATAATCTCCTACACGAACCCTGTAATTATGTTACTAATAGGCCATATGTTTTAAAGGTACATTAAATTACATACAACATGTATTATTTTTGTATTCTTTAAGCACATATTATATTTTTTTCCAAAATTCGATTCTCAGCCACTAAAAATGCTACTTCTAAATTAGAAAAAAAATCAATAAAAGTTTTATTGACATATGTTATAAACATATTGAGGGTGATGGTTCAAGTAAAGCATCTCAAACCTTCATAATATTTTTTGACTTTTCACAACACCTGCAACACAAAATTCCCCTCCACCGCTTATCCCTCTTTGTTGATAAAAACTCACCCACTAATCTTTTAAAAAATGTATTTCCTTTCCTTGACCATGTATAGTGTACCAGTGAAATGTATAATGAACATGTATATATTTTATTTCTAATTTTAGTTAAAAATTTCATATGATTTTTAAAGAAGAAACAATTGGAAAAATATATAAAATGCTTAGAACACAATAAATCTGCAGGATATTATCAAAATTATTATACCATAAGCAATATTTTAAATATACTAAAAATTTAAAAATGAATATATTTATTTCAAACTCTTTCTCTTCAAAGAGATATGAATAATTGTGAATTTATACATAACATGTTTAGTTGTAATATGTTATATTAAAATAATAACATACCAAGGATGGGGATTTAGCTCAGTGGCATATGTGCCTCCGTAGCAAGCGTGAGATCTTGAATTCGATCCCCAGTACAAAAAAATAATAAGAATTGTAAGCAGTAAGCACTAGAAAATGGTATTAATTTTCATTTGTGTTATGCTATACATAAAGCATTATGTATAGCATTATGTATGAAAGCATTATGTATGAAAATTTTAAAGATATGAAATATTTATAATTTCTGAGTGAATGATGCATAAGATAAAATTTGAAAAAGAGTTTGCAGAGCAGATATATTTACACTGGTACATGTGATATTTCATTTGAGTTTTAAGTATTGGCCTTGAATACCTATAGCCATTACATAAGCATGATTTATTTCAGTGTTGTTCATTATTTTATCTCAATATTATTTACTTATTTAGATCTTTTACATATTGCTTTCTGCTTCCTCTAACAGAGGAACCTAACACTCAGGCTGTTTTTTATAGTATATTTATTATTTTAGGGGGCATCTAGTTTGGATATAAATAATTTACATGATCAGTAATCCTTCAACTACAGTTTGATGTGTGTTCATCGAGTATATTATGAAACCACATTCTCTGATGTTTACACATTGCTTACTGAACCTATAAGTACATTAAGGACAAAATCAACAGCAAGAATAGATTCTATGTCAAAAGGTAATATAATAGACATAAGAAAATCAATTTTGTGGAAGTTTAAAATGTAGTTGTGCATGTAGTCCCCTCAAAAGAGTACAATTTGAAGTTCTTTAATAAGATAAGTACTCTTTCACAAACTTCTCTTTTTAAAATCTGTGGCTTTTCCTTAAAGCAGGATACTTGTAAGGACAATCTAATATATGTATTTTCTCAGATTTGTACATCTTCAAAGCTGAGTTTATGTTTTCCTGAAATAAATTTACATATTCAGTAGGTTGTATTACAAACTCATAATAACGAATTTTTAAAATTCCTGTTGACTTGAACATGTTTTAAAGTGGTGATTTGAAAAAAAAAAATTCATGACTGTCCTTTCAATGGCCTTTTTAGGTGAAAAATGAAACATTAGAGTGATTCAGACATTTAATCAGCCACAATCCTCAGCTTATCTGCTCTTGCAGTACCTTATCTGGTGTTCACAGTATAAAGAGAAAAAATATGGCCATTAACAGAGCATATGTGATTCTCTGCTAACAGCGGCGTCTTCAAAAGTTTTTTCATAATGACTTTTGCTTTTCTACTTTTTCAATATGTTAAAAAAAGACTAATGATCAACGCATCACTTACTGTATGCATTTTCACAATCATAATTTATTTCTACAAATGGGAGAAATAAGTATTCCTACATAAAAAACACAAAATTCTCTTAATTATTGTTTATTTTTCATCAAAGAAAACTGATTTTGAAATAGAAACTAGACAAGGTAAATGGTATTTTTAAAGTGAAATTTTATCTCTAAATTTTCAAACATAATTTTATCTCTAAAGTTTCACATATATATAAATATACATATACATATATAATAGCTAACCTGATTATACTATTTGTATTAATTATCAGAAAAGAACAGTTAATACTCAGATGTTTAGATCACTTTTACATGTTTGTGTCTGTTAATCGAAGCAGTTAATCTAATCTGCCTCTTGAAGGTAACAATGTACAATATTACAACCATTGTCAAATTCCTATCATCTTGCTTTGTAAACCCATACTGTTATTGTACTTGGTTTTGTGTTGTCTGTATTGCTTTTTTAGTTTTCTTCTGTATGTTTAATCATAAATAAAAAGATAAACTAAATAAATCATCATATCTAGAGGTATAAATACACAAACACACGAGCACTCAAATACAGAATGCTCAGTACAGGATAACTGACTGACAACCTCTTGCATTATTACTAACCTAGAAGAAACAATGCTTCAGAGTTGATTAATAAGAAATTTTTTTAAAATTACATTTAAAAAATTCCATTAAATGGCTTTTTTTGCAAAAAATGTTGCGAAGCTGAAAATTTTCTTCAGATTTCCCAGATGTATTAGGTACTCTCCATAATTATAACAAAAATATAAAGTGACCTATGTGAAATATTTTGTACAAATTTAGAATGTGTTTTAGTGCATAGGATAGCAAGAATTTTTGTTATGAATAAAACTGAGCCACTACAGAAATGTCAGTTTTAAAACATTTAATTTTAAAGTTTAATTATATTTTCTTATTTAAGAAATAAGAAATATTTAACTACATCAGTTATGTTCCTTTATAAACCAAAATAATGTCAAATAGAAGATCAAAATAGCATATCGACATAAACTAGCATATGTTTCTTATATCATATAAAATGCTATTATATATATATATATATATATATATTGCTAATACATCTTGACAGTATGAACTTTGCCTTTGCAATTCAAAAAGAAAATAAATTTCAACATTAAGTGTTTAAACACATGCATCCACACACTAAAGCTGCTTACCTGTGTAAATATGAGTATTATTCCCAGTAAATTATATAGAATTTTATTTAGAATTACAGCCTTCACATTAGGGGATAAGCAAATGAGCATATATATAACTAAAAGAGAATAGAGGTGATAAATAGGTAATTTTGGCCTTGTTAATTTTTTGGTAAGCAGTAAATTTCTGCCACAGGCTATAACAAGTGTTGATTCCAAAATTCATATTAAATTTGAGCGTTACCATTGTAAACCCACAGATAAGTAAAGTCTATAGATCAGTCACAAATGACTGAAATGTATTGGTTTACTTTACCTCTAGTTTTTACTATATGTATTCCCTGGGACAGTTTTAGTTTCCCAGCAGTATTAAATGTAAGGCACAAATATATTCTGTGTACAGAAGCCCCAACATGTGTGGGGCTTTTTTCCATTATGAGCATCCTTTACCAAAATGCTGTAATTTTTATACTTGATCAACCTCATAGAATAGTCAGTCCAAGTCAGTGATTTACATTTGGGTGAACCCTTGGTATTATGATATTTTTTGCATTTAGACAAATGTGTAGCATGTCGCTGCCCTAAAACTCCTCTGTGTCCTACCCATTTACCCCACATACGCCTCAGCCTCCATTAGCATTGCCTCTTGCAGAATATGGAATCACACTATAGAATCTCATTTTGTATCTCCTTAGTTAGCGTTTCTTCCATAGTGTTTAACCCATTTTCTGATAGGGTTATTTCTTTACTCATTGCTAGATTTTAGGATTCTTGGTTTACTTCTCTCATACATCATGTATAATTTGTCAGATAAAACTTTTGCAAATAATTTCTTCCTCTCTGTGGCTGATTTTTGCACTCTATTGAGAGTGATTGTAAAGACGTATTTTTAATTTTTAAAATTCTAGTTTACCAGTTCTTTGTTTTAAATTATATTTTTAGTGCTGTAAATAAAAGTCCATCAACAAATTCACATTCTTCTGGATTTTCTACGTGTTATTTTGTTTAATGGTTTACAGTTAAGCTTAGGATGCATTTTAAGTTTTACAAAGAAAGTTGCTGTAGTTTGATCCAATGTGCCTGCAAAAGACTCGTGTATGCAAATGTGAAGGTTTGGACCGTGATTGGACAATGAGGGTCCCGTGTTCACCAGGGAATTAATTCATGGATGAGTTCACATTTAATGTGATTTTAGGAAGTGGGGCCAGGTTGGTTGAAAGACATGAATCACTAAGCTCATGACTTGGAAGGCTGCATTCTTGTGCTTGCTGAGTCATTTTGGGCTCACTGTCTCGGTTTTTTTTTTTTGTTGTTGTTGTTGTTATTGTTAGGTTTCCTTCATTTTGCGATGATCCGTCTTTATTTTATTTTTTTTTCACTTTGTCTTTTTATATACACACAGCAACGTTTTCATTATGTTTGTCCTTTATTCTTTTACTTGAG